TAATAAAAAAAGAACTTACCAAGTCTGCTACTCTGCACAAGCTATCTGAAAGCTGATCAAAGATCTTTACAGTCTCTGGCCCAGGTGGTGTTGAACATGCCTTCTGGACTAGCTGTTCTGACTCTTGCAATGCTTTGTCTTGTGCTTCTTGAAATCCTTCTGGACAGCTCAGTTCTGGAACACCAAACAGACCCTGCAACACAGAATACAATGAAAACACATCATTATTACCCTCCTTAATCCCTGCATCTTTGTTTCAGGATTGAATTATCACTATGGAATTTTATCAAAATTACCCTAGCTGGCATATTGTAACACTTCACTAAAACATTCCTACACAAGTGTCATTGTAAACAGAATAGTCACAAAACCAGTCACAGACACTGGTATGATGTGAAAACGTGTTTATTTCCCAAAGCAAACCTCAGTGAGGTTTTTTTAGCCAGTATTGTTCTCAGCAAACCTTAAGAGTTTGACATCAAATCCTCACAAACTCTTCCACACCATAAACTCCTATGCCAACCTTTTCTCAAAGCATTTATCTTGCTTCCAAAGCATGGGCACCAAACAAAACACAGGAAGTCCACTTAGGTTTGAAAATGAGGAAAAATCACTCCTTTGACGCAAAAGAGACTTACTAAGGAATATGACAACTAAGTAGGAGTGTCAAAACAGTGAATGAATTGGTCAACAGCACTAGATATCAATGGATTGCAGGCAGCAGGACAGTTGTTTTGGGCGCATAAAACGAGCCTCAAATAGTGGAACCAAATCTCAAAGGAATAATCAGCAACTGCCAAAATTTGTGTGGTATGAACAGTTTTATTCCTGAAGTTCCTACCAAGCCTGGCCCTGTCCCACGGGGCAGGGTAGACACAGACAGCAGTGGAAGAGAATTACAAAGCTCCTACTGCTGATCAAACAAAATTACTAACACTGGCTGCAAGAGAAAAGTTCCACAATACAGACAGTAAAAAGATTTCATAGAATCATAGAATTTCCTGATTTGCAAGGGAACCACTAGGATCACTGAAGTCCAACTCCTGGCCCTGCACAGGGCAGCCCCAAGAATTACACCATGTGCCTGAGAACACTGCCCAAACACTTCCAGAACTCTAGCAGGCTTGGTGCTGTGACCACTTCCATGGGAAGTCTTTTCCAGTGCCCAATGAACTCCTGGATGAAAAACCTTTTCCTAATAATTCCTTAATTTCATTTAAATTAAAACAGCATCTCTTCAAGCAGTACACTCCCTTTGCAACTGCTCAACTGCAACACAAGCATCTCCTTCCCTGCTAACTACACCATCTAACAGTGAAAGGTACATCATTTCACACATCTATCCCTTCCCAAATTTAACCTCAGTATCTAAAATCACAATCTGGATTTGCAGATCTGTAAGGCAGTCACTTTATAATGCACCTTCTGCAAACTCTTTGTGTTACAGCAATCAGCTGCGGGTTTGCATATAGCTTGCAAGTATTTATCCAAACAAAACAAAAAAACCTACAAATTGACAGTTAGTCTGTAAAAGTATATATTCTGAATGAAGCAAAAGCATCCCTTAAAGTAAGTATCTGGGACATTCTGAGTTGTTTTTGCCTATTTTCTTTCTGTCACTGCTGCTAAAACTGCCTTCTTTTTTTCCTAAAGACAGAAACCCTTTCCTCATACTTCCCATGTTTTAATTTATTATTTGGGAACAGGAACTGGACCAAAACAAACACTGAAACAGATATTTTTATATATATACACATGCACTTAGACATAAATATACTTCTATCACAGCACTCTTCAATAATGCTTGTGTACAAGAGACTCAAGACTTCACTCAGATCCCCAACCAAGGGTTGCAGTATCCTGCAATATTCCAGAGAGCTCCTGGCCTTCCTGCTGCCCTACATCATCATTCACCCTCCCGAGAGAGCTCTTCCTGCATGTGTAGTTCTCTGTGACCAGGAGGTATCTCCTCTTAGAAATAAATTAGCCATGGAGCTCCTCTTCCATATGATACCAAGTTTGACATAAAAATTGAAAAAATATGAAAAAAATGAAGCCTGGTGCAGTTCTCTATGTTCTTTAATGGCATTGGCTGCATAGATGCAGCCTTATTCTCTTTGCTTGGCCTCAGCATTTACATCCTACTTGTCACAGCCTCTTTGTGAGTCTGAAATATATATCTCTATTCCCAAATTACTGTGGGCCAAGTGAATCATCCACAACTCACTACCCAGGCCAGTTAAATGTAACTGCATTATTTCCTGAAGCAAAACTTACACCAGTATGTTTGCAGAGGCAGGAGAACCAATAGAAAAGTGTCCCAAACAAGTGCTAGGTTATAAACAGAAGTCAGATTTGTCCTCAGTATACCCCAGAGTTCAACAGCTTCACCAGCCTGGGCACCACGACAAGAGTAGCTGAGTCAGCAGGCAAACACCTGGATTTTACAGCTATAACTATTCTACATACACTGTGCCATCTTACTCTGTCCAGGAGCCAGCCTGTTGATTCCAGGACACTGATTAACAAATGCACTTGACTCACCTCAAAAGGAAACATACCAGAGAACCCAAGTGTCACCAACCCAGCAAACAAATGCTTTTTTTTTTTTTTTTTTTTTTTTTGGCCACAGGAAAGATGTCAAGAATAATGTCCAGGCAAGAGGATGTCGGCAGCGTGACAGATCCCAAAGCGCTGCCAGAGGGTAGTGGCATGACACTGACAGAGGAACGAAGGCACAGCCAGGTGGGAGCTGGGAGTGGAATGGGCAATGGAAGGGGCAGTATCTCTTTATGTACATATGGGCGCTACTGAGGCTCAAAGCAAGTCTTTCCATACAGGAGACCATGACTGTCAAACTCTTCTGCGTCCAAAAGCCAGAAGTTATCGGTTCATTAGAACCAAAATAAACTGAACCAAGTAAAAACTTTATATTTTAGAAAAAAAAAATTTACACAGGAGAAAAAAAGAAAACTACCCTGGAAAAAAAAAAAATCCCTTAAAAGAGTTGCGATAAGCAAAGCACCATGCTGCCAGCGGCCAGGGCCGCCTCCTGCACGCCGCAGGCCCGGCCCTCCCCTCCCGCCGCTCACCGTCTCCCTGCCCGCCGCGCCGCCGCGCAGCGCCTGCTGCCGCTGCTGCTTCGCGTCGAAGGCGCTGCCCACGGGGCACCAGCTGGTGCTGACGGCCCTGCGGCCCGGCCCCGCCGCCCGGCCCCGCAGCGCCCGGCCCAGCGCCGCGGGCAGCGCCCGCCGGCAGCCGCCCAGCATGGCGGAGCGCCGTGGAGCGGAGCACACCCGGCACCTACACTGACACCAGCACCGCCCGCTCACGGTGCGGCCGCGACCTCCGCGCGTCCGGGCCGGGAGGTGGGACCGGAGCAGGAGGCGGAGCGGCGGCACAACGCGGAGCGGGGCGGAGCTCCCTGATCTCACCGCCCATCAGCCCACCCCCTCCATTGGATTCGCTGCTCACGCTGGGCCATGGTTCTTCGGCATGTCGTGGAGCGGCTGCTTTCGCTCTCCCGATCCTTCCGCTTCCCCTGGCTGCCCAGTTCCACTGCTCCCTCCCCGGCCGTGCTGGAGCCTCTGCCGGCTGATGACAGAATCACAGAATATGCCGAGCTGGAAGTGACCCACAAGGAGCATCGAGTCCAGCCCTGGGCCCTGCACAGGGTCATCCCCAACAGTGACAACACGTGCCTGAGAGTATCATCCAAACGCTTGTTGCACTCTGATATCTGTCCTACACGTCCTCCCGCTAAACCTAAGTCCATTTTAAAGCGTTTCTTGGCTTAGTTGTTTCTGTGACACAAACTTAACGGCGGGTGGCTTACAGGGGACAAAGCCTCTTCTTGGTGAAAAATTCACATAACCCTTTCCTCTGCCTTTGTATCTCCCTTGCAGTCATTTACTTGACACGAGAAGTGCAGCTGTTCTTCCTGAAGAAACCCACTGTGCCATTTTCATTTGGGCTCTGTGATCCATACTCAGGGTTCAACAATTGTGAAAATATGCCCACATTGCCTTGCCTCCCCAACATCCTGAGGGGTGATGGGAAGCCAGGCCTCATGCTCCAGCCAGCATTTGCACTGAATTTCATGGTGCTGACCCATCTTCATTGGCATCTCTGCTTTATTCTCTACTAAGGAAAGTGGATGAAACTTACAACATTTTTTGTTATATTTTTGAGTTTTAGAAGGGGGAGAGGGGAGAGAAAATTCCAAAAAAAAATCACAGAAATTAATCTTTTATGGCACATCAAGGAAATATCTCTCAATCAGTTCTCTGATATGACTGCTTCAGTGTTGATTAAATATTATCTTTCATTTGTTGCCCTGGCTAATTCTGAAGTACAGCAGTAGTATGTTGTATTTTTGCAATTGCCTTTAATATCTGCCTACATCGAAGAATCCACAGGGCACTTCCTCCTATCCCTCTCTTTCACTCCATTTCAGACCTTTGGCTACATGGAAAGCAAAGAACCATATTTAAAAGCTATAAAATCCACCCAGCTATGATAAAACTTGCTTGTGCCGTAGAACAAGCAAGTGGCACCTGTTTGATACCTGTGAAGGTATCCTGGCCTCTAGCAGCATGGTGCTTTGCTCTTTGATACCTGTGAAGGTATCAAATTGCACTAATTCCAAGTTTAAAAATTATTTTGAAATGGTTGGATGCAAACTAACCGAGTTTCAAGCCCACCTACATATGCCACCTTTGAAGAAATAAACTGGCTTAGAAGTAACTGCTGCTTCATGTTTATACAAGATGGCAGGGACCCACATGTTATAATTCCAGAATTTTTATCTTTCATTTTGTCCCACTTTTTTGAAAAACATTTGTCCTTCAGGACTTGTGTAGTCACCCCTGTGCATTCCTACAGTAAGTCACCAAACCACTAATGTGTTGATTCAGAGGAGTTAGAGTTGTCCTCTTTTGCGCAGAAGTTTTTCCTGACAGCAACTGTCTGTTTTCTGTCAAATCCAACAGAAATTGTCCAGCAGATAACAACTTTATTAGGGAGGGCTGAAGGACACAGACATACAGCATTCACAGATAGTATGAAGTTACGTGGTGGGCAATGGCAGTGGCTCCAGCGAGTCAGAGGTGCTGAACAGGAGAAACCCAGAGAAGGTGGTATCATCATCAGCGTCTGCAAATAGCCCATTGAAAGTCTCCCCTGGGTGAGCCTGCAGCCACACCTCATCTCCTCCCTGCAGCTCCAGGATGGCAGCTCCTGAGGCCTGGTCCTCTCCACTCTGGTACCTGTCCACAGTGTGCAGCATCTTGATGCCGTTCTTAACTAGAGCTACTCGGACGTTCCTTGAGTAGACAGTGATGTGGTAGGTGAAATAGTAAACACCAGGGTATTTGCAGGTGAACTTGCCAGTAACTGGGTTGAAGTCATTGAGACCATTATACAGCACCTTGTCAAACTTGATTGGGCGATTTGGAGGGGGAAATTTGGTGGCAACTGTAAGGCCAACACTGAAAGCACTCCTTGGCAGGACTCCTGGGGCACCTACGTTCCCCTTTTCTCCTCTGTCTCCTTTCAAGCCTCTTTCCCCCTGAACTCCTGGATTACCCTGTGGCCCTATATCTCCAATATTGCCTTTAGGACCTGGATTACCAGTTGGGCCAATTGGCCCTGGGAAACCAACTCTTCCAGGATGGCCAATTTCACCCTTTGACCCTTTTGGACCAATGGGTCCAATGTCTCCTTTTAACCCCTTTTGTCCTTGCAGTCCCAGCTCTCCCTTCTGACCTTTGTAACCCACTGACCCTATAACTCCTTTTGGCCCCAGTTTGCCAGGTCGTCCTCTTTCTCCTTTATCTCCTTTGTTCCCCTTCTCTTCAACAGTCCCATTGGCTCCTAAAAGAAAAGAGAAAAAAAGTGAGGGGGGGGGAAAGTTTCTTGTGGTCTTCCACTGGATTAATAGGGCACAAATTGAGTTTCAGCATAAGGAAATATAAGTGCAGGTGTGTGTCAGCACTGTGTATACTGTGCTCACTGTACACACAATTTCTCATACATTTAAGCGCAGGATAAACATAATACCTAAAGAACCCCTTACTGTGTTAGAAAACAGGTGCTCTTGCTGACAGCAGCAAGAACAAACTCAAAGAAAGGAGAGCTGTCTACAGGATGATGACAGCTCACATCATCTCAGGCACAAGCAGCATCTGTCCAGACATCTGTTTTCAGCCTTTGGTATACAAAATGGGTGACATGGTTCACAATTTAATCAGAGGAAGGGGGTTTTTTGACAACACCCAGAATTTGCTTAGGATAACAAGTCCTTACTTATATATAAAGTATACAGGATATATGTTTTTTTTAGGTATATAACTTGTGTCTTCTACAATTTGTTTTAAAAGTCCCTTTCCCTGAAGTTTCATAGATAGCTACAGGATCCTCACTTTCCTGAGGTAGCTGCAGATGCAATGTCTTGCTTAGCAGCTGACAAAAGGATCAGAGATGGGAAAGGTAAGATAACAGGCTGAGTGAACAAGTTGTGGGGCATCAGAAGCAGTGGGATAATCTCAGGTGGCAAATTCCTCTTCTATTGTCAGCATATGTGTGCAGCCTCTGCTACTTCAGGAAAAAGGGTTTTTTAACCTTTATGGTACTTTTGCTACAGCTAGAATGTATAGCACATCCAGTATTCACAAACAAAAGGGCAGCAGATGATAGACAAATAATAAATTGAAACACTTCTTCTCTGACCTTGTTCACCTTTCTCTCCATTGGCACCATCTTTCCCTGGAAAGCCAGGAACTCCTGGTTCACCTAGTACAAAATTAAAAAGCAGATTTTCATTAAACAAATTACCAGAAAACCTGGGATGAGTTCTTCTTCAATCTTTCCTCTCCAAGCCTGGCCAAACAGTATTGTAAAGCGTACTCTTATTCCTGACTTTTAGTGGGTGCCACTGCTGGTACTTTTATCTTATGGAGAGACTGACAGAGAGCACGGAAACTCTGCTTGAGGATGGTGGGTTTTTTTGACACAGAAGGAATCCTTGGTATAACAAGGTGAGTTATTGAGGTGTGAAGAGATGCTATATCCTTGTAAGGACCACTAGTGTGAAAACTTCTTGTCCTGTTGTTGCCTCCATCCATGGAAATGGAGTGAGGAAGCCACATTCAGGAAGAAATATTGCAGGGGCCAGAAGCCCATTAGTAAAACATGGACATGGTTTAGCAGTGGACCTGGTCTTGCTGGGTTAAGGATTGGACTTGATCGTCTTAGAGATCTTTTCCAACTGTAATGATTCTATGATTCTATGAATGGTAAACTCACACCTCAAGAAGAGATGTGCAGGAGTTTGACAGATGGTATTGAAATGTTACAGTGGAGTAATATTGCCTGTAAATCTGAGGAAGGCATTCGCGCTCTTGATCCCTGTATTTTGCTTGACATGGACTTTCTACTGCTCTAAAGAGAGCAATTATAGAAGTGATTTTTGTAGTAAAGTCAAAGATGACCAGGAGATGATCAAATAAGTGGATTTGCATCCAGAGTGCAACAGAAGAAAAAAGAGTTGGTAGTTTGGATGTAACCATATTCCAAGGGTAGCTCTCCAACCATAATGACCTGAGAACCGTTCTTTAGCAGTTTTCTGCATGGTGGGTGTAGCCCAATGTGCACTGGATTTTCACTGACTTGGTAAGGAACAAAATGAAGTCTCATGTATTTAACTGCACTGCAAAGGTGTGTATGTAGTACATACAATATAAAGAATGGTACAATCACCCCAATTTGTTCCAACAGAGAATAGTACAGTCATCAAAACAAATTAATCAAGGAAAAAATGTTGGGGACTTCATCAGAAATCACTGGTATCATGTGATAAGTTACTGGAGTAAAGGGAGGACCTTTATAAGATAAATGAAAATAACCAAGCTTTAGATTTTCCATTTTCAAACCTTCCTGGAACCACACATATAGAAAAGGAGGGCAGTTAAATGTGTTTGCCTATTAAGATGCTAATGGATTTTTTTATTTGTTTGCTTCTACATTTTAGCCAAGCTAGGGCAGGGAAAGCTGAAGGAACATTTAAGTGGTTGCTTGGCAGAGAACTCTAAGTCATTTTATAAACAAAAGAGTTCAAAGTAACTCCCTAGCAACCACTGGGGCAAATACCTAAGTAGGTGGACTTGTCTTTTGGTGGTCCAGGGAAGGCCATAAGCAGTGAAAAGTCTTCATTGCCCAAATTATAAGTGCTGGTTATTTTTCAGCTGTTCTGGTTTACTCTATAGCCACACAAACAGCTGTGGTCTCTAAGAGAGATTCAGGTGTTAGGAAAAGGATCTGGTAGATCTTGCCTATACCAGCATAGCCATGAAATAACTGCACATCAGCTACACCTTCAACACTGATTCTGCAGCACACACTGTTTGAGGATGCATATACTTTTCTCTATAGCAGGTGATTCAATATCTTAGCAACCCAGTCTGTTAAATACAGACATTTCCACCAGCTTGAACCTGCAGTTGTTTTTTTGTTTACTGGGCTTGAAGCTTTTATAGAAATATAGTTGCTATCTTAAAAGAGTAGGAGAAGGTATACAAGCTTAAAAATTTTCAAATAGACTTGAAAATATTACCACAATAGAAGATAAAGCCTTTTTTCTTTTGTTTTTTTATCCCACGGACCTGACATCTTCATAGTATTAACTGTCTCGCTTTCGTTGTTAAGCCTTTCTTTATATTTCCTTCTTCAAACAAGTAAACAACAAATGTCTGAAATGTTTTCTGAAGACTATGCAGAATACTCCCATTCATGCAGAGTGACTACAGACAAATTTGGGAATGAATGGCATTGCATTTGATACATTAAATCATTTATTCTGAATGTAGTACCTGTATCCCCCTTGTCGCCTTTTGAACCGTCGCGTCCATCACGGCCAGGTGTGCCATTGTGCCCAGGATTGCCAGGGATGCCGGGATACCCTTGGGTACAGACAGCCTGTTCTTCTGTTTCTGCTGTGCTGACTACAATAGCCAGCAGTACAATCCAGCTTTTCATTCTTTAGGTAGGTTATATAATTTTGGCTGAAAGATTTAAGAAAACAAAAGTACATCTGTGTAAGTCTGCCTTGGAAGGGTGTGCAGGGTGGTGGAGGAAGGAAAACAAGGAAATGGGTTTTCACCATGTATATTCTTTTGTTTTATTCATAAGTCTCTATATAGCATAAATTACAGTCCTGAAGACTATTGAGTGATATTTTAAATAATTTAATGGGAATATCAGCCATAGCATCATCATACATTTAAAACATTAACTTAACACAGTTTAAAATATTCCTTATTTCCCTGTGATTTGGAGCATCAGATTCTGTTTTGTATTTTCTTATGCAGCTTGACTTGTGGAAATTAATGGCTCTGCAAAGGGAAATTTTTATGTGAGTAGATGATGAGCAGCTAAAAGTCACAAAAGCTCTGGGGAGCTTTAGAGCTACCCTTGATGTCCTCAGAATCTATCCAGCAAACAAGAAAACAACAGCTCAGTGCATCCCGTAAAGTTTTACATTGTTCTATTTAAACCATAACTGCATTGACAAAGCCTGGATTTCATGGATTGGCTGAACTTAACCCAGATTTCAAGGTCATAATAAAAAGGCAATTCAGGCAAAAGTGTTCATTTTTAATTTCTTTTTTCCCCCACCAATTGCAGCAAGGAATAAACAGTTGCAGCAGCTATAGACCAAAGAACTTCCAGTGACTGGTCTTACTTCAACCATACCCATGAACCCGCAATGCCTGGCAAGTCTACAAGGTTTATGTACTAGACAATACTACAATAATAATGTTTTTGCTGTCCCGAGCCTCAAAATTTCAAGTTCTGCAAGATGATTCAGGTAGGACCTGTGATCCCACGTTTATGCACAAGGATTCATACAATGTCCTGTTTCTCTGAGCTGTAGTTTTGCTTACTTAACATATACACATTCCTCTTGTTCAGAAATCACTTTGCAAACTCCACTAGCCAGAACTGTGCCGAGGGAGGAGCCATTGCTGCTTTTCAGAATCATGCAGAAGACTGCCTACATCCTTCAATAAGAATAATTACAGCCTGCTAGCGATATTCAATCTAAATATTCTTTTAATGTAATTTATATAGGAAGACACCAATTTTGGGACATGTTCCTTAATCTTTTTATTCTGTGCTCAGAAAAGTTCCCTATTTTGTAACAATTACCAGAAATCTGATTTATGGTATCTTTGCTAATGATCTCGAGAGATATTTAATCACCAGCCAGCAAAATCCCACCTTAACTGCTGCTGCTGGTTAACACCAAAGAAATTTGAAAATCGATAAAACATTTGCTACTTCTGAGCGATATAAACTTTTTCTGCCTTAGTCAAAAGACCAGAAGAGTGCAAAAGGAAGTGCTCTGTGTGACACTGTTAGGATATGATGCACTCTGTGGAGAAGTCTGACAGTCTTTGTCCGCTTACAGAAAACCACACTCTCAGTTGTCTAATGGAGCATTTCTTGCCAAGAGAATAGACAGTTTGGTCCCCATACATGCACCCCACTCCACAAGCTGACATTAATGTCATCATTACATACATAGGATCGTTGCTCTTACCTCATTCACTTGGTACTTGCCGTGTTCTTGGGCATCTTTACCAGAGTGGAAAAGCTTCATGTAAAGGAGTGCACACTTAGATATGTGTCTTGAGGACAAGTACTTGTTTGGTCACTAAATTCTCAAAGGTCAGTGATTTAATTTTGAGAGCTGTTCAATAATTAAAACACAGTTTTATAGTGGAATTTTCCTATTTATTCCAATATTAAGCTGAAGTGCTCTTTGTTTTGGCTTTTACCACTGTTACATGAAAGAAAATTGTTAAAATGGATTAATAAGGCTTTGATTTGCCTGTTCCATTCCACAAATATGTCACAAAAATGTTAACCTTTAACGGGTTAGTTGGTTTGTAGGATGGAAGGCATGTCTCACACCATTACTGTGCTGTAAAACATGTAATAGTTTCTGTATCAAGTAATTTACAATGGAATTTGAGAAAAAGACTATAGAAATTAAAACCAAAAATGCTGAGAAAATAGCATTACAAATATTAGCTGGTTATGGAAAAGAAATAACAAGGTTGAATTAAAGTAAATTGAATGACAAAGAGAGCTTTTCAAGTATAATTAGGAGGCTCCCCATTTAGTCATTCAAGCAACAGTAAAAGCTACTGCTATAGTAAATTATATATCATTGGTAACTAAATTTTTAAAATCTAGAACTCCATATTTAACTGTGTCTTCTTGAAACTACTGCAACTGCTGCTAAGGACTTATGGAAGTAAAGCAACTGAGCTTATCATCAACTCCTTAAATGCTGGTCATGAGCACTGAAGGATAAAACCAAAAGTCACAGGAGTTAATGTGTTATAGGAAGTGACCTTAATTCATCCTCGTTGGTTCAAGTGTGTCTGAGGGTGTTCCCACACTGCAAAGATATGACACGTGTGGTCTGCACATACCGAAGGACGTAACCTCAGTGCCGCCGAGCAACGAAATTTTCAGTAAGGTCTTCACCACCACCCTGTGGCAATACGAAAATACTGCAAGCGTTGTGGTGCCCTGGTTTGTATTTGGGACACCGTGTCTACCATGCTCTGAGGAAAAGTCAGGACCATGTGCAGCAATTAGCTGCTCTACTGGAATGAACTTCTGTAGCCAAATTAACCTTGCTGATGTGCTAATTGAGAAGCAGAAACGAGGGCCGCGACAAACAATCCCTTTCTTTTACCGACTAAGCACCACCTGAAATTTTCAAAGGTTGCTTAGTCTCAGCCTCCTTTTGCTACGTAGAAGTTTGATATAAAAAATAGCCAACCCTTCCAGCTTGGTGCTGTGCCCTCAGTGGTCTGTCCTGTCATGCAGAAAACCTGGATTTCTTAGCAAACCTTTCTGTCAACAGGGTCCTCGGAGAGCCAATGGCTCTGGCTGAACAGCACTGGAGGCTCCTGGAGACATGGTACCAGCAGTGGCATGCCCTGGGCCTCCCAGGGCAGCACAATCTTTACAGTGACCCAAACAAAACTGTGAATTTTACAGTGACAACAGTCACAGTCTCTCTGTTCCATCCTGCGTTGAAAATTACATCATTTATTAGTTGGACTACCTCAATGGACTCTGCAGTTAGTCTGGTTTCAGGCATTTTTAGCAGAGAACCAAGAAAACTGCTTGTAGGAATGTCCTTAAAGGCAAATGTTATCTCCAGTTGCTTTCTGGTGTGTCTTTTCTCACCACAGAGCAATGCCCTGAAAATAATTACACAGTAGCAAAAGTTGATCATTTCCTCTTAAAAAACATTGCATGTGAATGGAAGGAGATGCAAGGGGTTTTTTTAGATTGATTTCTGTGCTCATTACCTTCTTTAGGAGATGAATATGGCGGTAATGGCCACGAGATGGATGGTTAGTAAGATACCTGATCTTATTAGCAGAGCACCTTCTAGACACTTTTTCAGTAAGTCAGTATCTCTGAAGTCTGGGATATGCTTATAGGAAGTGGCCATGGTTAACTGTGCCTAGTGAATCTGCCTACTGACAATTCACTTCAGTGTGTATATTGGGCCTTCTGCCTTATTTCCTATGTGCCAGAAATAAAGAGGAATTTGGCAGCTGCCACGTTCTGCCAGCAAAGTCCCTCAGGTGTACCTCAGGGATTCCTTTCCTCTGTATTGGAGGAGTACCTGTACTCCTTTCCTCTTAAGCAGTTTCAGCTTTCAAAAAAACACCAGGAGAAACAGTCAGTAAATCCTACATCATCTTATGTTTCTCTTCTGAGAGAAACTCAGCCCTTGAAGGGCAGTGGTACTCCTTCTCTGCTGCTGACCTCTGCCCTCTCAGGTTAGCCCTTCTGAACTTCACTGACACCAGACTCCAGTGATTCTGATGGATACCTCCCAGCCTTCACTTGTCTGCAGAGTGGTTTTTCTGTCATTGCAGGTGGCCCACTCTGAATGTTTAGAACGTTAAAATGACTCAGGTAAAACCTTGCCCAGGTGTCATTCAGTCATCAGCCTCCCCCTCCCCGACACACAACAGAAATGTAACGTAAAGAGAGGGAGGGTCCATATGGGGATGCCAGTCTATATATAGATGGAGTCTATAAAGGGGGTGTGAGTGTAAATACACACGTATACAAACACATACACACCTGCACACAAGTCTGTTTTTTAAAACCAGAGCCTGAAATACCTAATAGTGGCAGAGTGTGAATTCTCAGCCCTAGGCACTCACCTGGACAACCAGAAGTCAGTTCTGACTGCAGTGAACTAAATCTAACACAGACGTAAGATTAACAAAAAATGTGATGTGCTGACAGCTTATACAGTTCTGATGTATTCTCATAATGACATGTCCTCTAGCTTATTAGAGGAATTTTGAAAAAGCACTTAGAAATACATTGAAAAAGCACTTAGAAATACACTTGTGTAAAGAGTATTTGCGTGCTTTTCTTACAGTCCATAAGGTGTGCAGTTTTCCATTGCTGACTTTTTCATTTCTCCTTTGGTACTGAAACATAAAAAGGCTTGAGTTCTTGTTTCTTGTTACAAAGCACAGATCATCATGTAGCCTTAAAAAAAAACTCAAAAAACAAACAACAACAAAAACAACACCCACCAAAAAAAAACCCAAAAAAAATTCAAGACAAGCAGTGCTATTTCTGTGTAAACTAAAAGCACCACTTGATAGATCAGCTCTCGAAGAACTTTAAAGTAACTGATAGTAGAACTGATACTACAGAACGATCTACAGGATTCAGCCTGACTGCCAAAGCATGAAATAAAATGCACAAATGAGCTCACCATGGCCAGATGAACCACAGGGTCCTTACAAAGCCTATTGATTGCAACATCCTACTCAAGTGTTTGCTCAAGGTATGTTTTTCTGTCATCCGATCTACTGCACTAAGTGCTCAGACTGTGCCTCTCACTTTGATGTTGGAGCACTCAGCACACATCCCGCTGCAAGAGCAGCATTTGGGAGGCCTGAGAAACTCTCTGCTTTGAGGTGAACCAAGAAATGTAAACACATGGATATTGAAAATAAGAATAACAAATTGGCGAACCCAACTATTCTGCCAGCATTTGAATTCACCAAAACATTTCTGATGAAAAGATTTCAGCAAAGTTTTTTATTTTGTTAAAGCTAATGTGTCTCAGCGAAACATAATTTTTGACACAGCCTGCAGCAGGAAGGACACAGGTACGCCTTTCAGATGTCCTCTGCCCTGTCAGAACAGATGTCTCCCCAAATCAGAGAAGTAAGCTGAATCCCCAGCAGGCTGCCCAACAAGCAGGCAGGTAAGCCTGGCACACGTTTACAGAACACACCTTCTCAGTGAACCCTTTCAAAAGGTTTTGCTTTCATTCCAAAGAAAATAAAATTTAATCCTTCTTACCTGCACTGCAGTACGTAAGTCACCATCCTCTGTTAGCAGGAGCTTTATTAATACAGAAGCTGCATTTGCATTTATTGCAAGGGGAACTGTGGGAGCCCTCTGCCAGGACAAGATAAAGCACAGTGATCACAGATCCATATGTCTGAAACAACAACAAGGATGGACTTTGCTTGAATGATGAAAAATTTAAATCCCAGAATTAGTCAGTAGTTGTTATTAAAATGAACTTGTGCTGGGAAGTACTGTAGCCATTACTGGGAAAACAAGAGAGAGGGATGTGACTTTTTTTCTTTAAAATACTAAAAGAAATATGACAGTTGATGTATTTTTGCATCACAAAGAAAATTTTGTAGACAATAAAAACCCACAACAATTTTAAAACTGCACAATAAAGTTTTATAAGACAGAGATGAGAAACATCAGCTTTGTACATTATTTAATTCAAACATATACAATAAGAGAAAAATAACAGGAATGTAAGTTTATTACATTTCCAGAATGTAATAAGTAATAATTTTATTACTTATTTCTAGAAAATAGAAATTTGACAAACAATGTTTGAAGAGTAAATAAATCTTGGAATGCAATTTCTTCAGAACAAATGCACATCAAGCTACTGCAGTCCTATACATTGTACTTCAGCCATCAACAGCCAATTCTTCTGCTCCGTAGCCAGGACACTTCATTTACAAAATGTGTAACAGCACACAGATGGTAAGATGCACAAAGCAATGTAGGGAAGATAAAATGTTACAAAACACTTATCAAAATAAAATATATATGTAAGTTATCCCTAGTATTTACAACATGTAGTTTTAAATTAGAGATCGTTCAGAAGGCATCTCCTACATACAAATGCCACACATATAGAAAAAAAAGCAGAAAGGCAGTCAGAGAAAAGTACTATGTTAGTTATGGCTAAAGACCTTTGGCTCCAAATCTGTGATATAATTGTTTTCAAAAGACAACTAAAATGTGGAACATTTGAGAAGTCTGTCTTTGAACTCAGTTATTACACTGACCACTAAAATTCAATGTGAAATTTAGCATGGCAAGAGCCACTTGTAAAACAATCTTATTATTTTATACATCAAATGCTTTGAGTTAGATGCAATTATGGTTTGGCATTTTCCTAACTCAGTGGGAACATATTTGAGGACAATTATATTTTACTGCATCTCATGCAAAAAGTCTGAGGTTATCTACTCAGCAGGCCATTGGGAAGGCTCTGGCTGTGCTCTATCTAAATGAGGCACAAATGTGCTTAGTAGTTGCCCTAGATTTTTTTATAGTAACTTCATGCAAAAGCAAGAGGAA